TAGATGACTTAAGTGATTTTTCGATCATAATGCCAAGATCTTTTTCTTCAACCACAGTATTTAATGCATTTCCATTTAAATCATAACAATAATTTGATTTTTGAAAACCTACATACAGTTAGCCACTCCAAAAATCTTAATGTCATCTGCAAGCTTCAATATTTTGTTAGTCATTCCATAGTCAATATCATTAATATAAATCACAAACAGAGCCCTGAGGCACACCACTTGGAACTGTGATCCAGTCCCTTCTAACTCCATTCATTACTACTCTCTCTTTCTACACTCCAGCCAATTTTCTATCCAATTTAATGACATTTTCCTCAAATCCACGGATTTAATTTTTGTAACAAGTCTTTAGTGAGGCACCTTATTAGATGCTTTTAGAAAATCAATTTCATAAGTACTGAGTGTTATTAGTAACTCAATAAACTGACAATAATATTAAAACTTGAGTCTGATTTTTGGAAAAATTATAATTTTATTTGTAGGAGGACAGAATAGCTTTGCGTACAAGGTCCAAATTGCCACTCATTGATACACCATTAGAGGCTATTGAAGCTGCTTTTGTTGCTCCAGACATTACTCCTGATATGTACGACTCTGATTGTGATGATGAGGAGTGGAGAAATTTCTTGAGTGATTTCAGAAAGCCTTTAGGTATTTTGTGTCAATGTTAAACCATATATATATATTTTTGGAGTGGGAAATTTTCAGTGTTTTCAAAAAAGAAAAATTATTCTCAGTTTATTATTTAGTCTTAAGAAGGATCTTAGTACTTGCAGTTTTTAAATTTCTGGTATATATAAGATTAAATAATGTTGAATTCCAGGTTCTGTGGTTTTCTAACAGCATATATTAACCATTGGCATATCGGTTGGTCAGTTTGACCAATCTTGTAACCACTGTATAACCATAGAACTAAATTCTGATTAAGAAGTTAGCACACAGGATCACATACAAAATTTGTAATGGTTTTGGGTCGCATTTGAAAATCATAACCGTAGAACTACATTCTGTAATTCTAAATGTATTAAATGTATCTTCACAAAATCCTGAAAGATTTTTAGTAAAAATTACAAGGCATTTATGTTCACAAATATAAATTTTTGAATATACATTTTAGAACACACAAAAGTATATCATGCAATAAAATAGAATGTCCTAAAAATTGTATAAATTGTAGTTTTTGGAAAATTATTTTTAAACAAGCTCAATGTTAGAGAGAGACATTAAATTTTTTTTACATTTTCTAAATTTTCTTTACATGTAATTATAACAACTTACGAGTGAAAGAAGTAAGGAAGAATGTAATAATATGTCAACCACATATGATCTGCTATATCTGGTGCTTATGAGGTGTTTCACCCAATACCAAGGCTTATCAGGCTGAGATGGGATATGACATATATAGTAGAGGTCAATATTTTATACATGTGTATGTGTATCATCAGTTGTTTTGGTGTGAGCTATATTAAGTTATTGAAGTGTAATTGTTATCAATTTAATTTAAGTCATTACTTTCAGAATAAGGTTTGTGATTTTTGTAAACATAATTCTTTAGAGACCTGTGTGAATATTGATGGAGTTGAAGACGAAGGAGAGGATCCAGAATACAACTTCTTAGAAGAAGATGACATTTTGGACAAATGGGACCTTCGATTTGATAGAGCAGTGAAAATACCAAGTAAGATTTTTTTCCTATATCTGTTTTTTGTGTTTAGCAGTTTTTCAACTAGTTGCTCAATATTTTGATCAACTTCCATTATTGTTGAAAAATATTCTATTTATTTATTATGCTTCTGATATAAAATACTATCTGACTTATCCGTTCAGTGCACAATGAAGATGTAGGGGCTCTTGGGAAATGACACAGGGGTACATATCTGAATGCTGATCTGGCAGAGATCCACATACCAAACACCCTATGTTACTCCCCATGTTGCCATAAGTGTGCTTTTGAATTTTGCAGTGATCAAATGAATAGTACGTGGAACACACACACACAGCTCCAGGGATGGTGTGGGGTATGATATAAAGTGGTCAGATCCAAATGCTGACTCCTTTGTGTCACTTAACATTGAAGACCTAAGAGTGTATGCCAGGTTTAGTTGAGATTGATCACAAACTACAGGTGTAAAAAGTTGTCCCAAGGATAGTGAAAAGAGAAAGGTCAGGTCTGAATGCCAATCCCCCTCCCATCTATGATACACCTCTAAGGAAGGGCCTTAAGATGCATACTAAATTTGGTTAAGATTAATGTCAAAAAGTTTAGACATGAAAAGCAGACACACAGATGGTTAAATACCAAAAAGGTACCAAACATTATATTTTTCTGGAAGATTGTGATTGTAAATCATGTTCCTTACTAGGTTTTCATAGTTGGAGAATTGTGTTGTTATATTTTTCTTTCAATTATCAGATTATTGAAAAAATAGTATAAGATTTTAGTGTAATCTGATGTAATTGCAAATGAAACATGGCATTCATTGAAAAATGATAATTACCAATTTATTAATTTAGCTTTACTGCATATTACAAAAATCTTATATTTAAATGTAAAATACCATATCTGTACAAGTCTCTGTTACAAAGGGTTTACTGCATATTACAAAAAACTTGCATTAAATGTAAAATACCATATCTGTACAAGTCTCTGTTACAAAGGGTTTACTGCATATTACAAAAAACTTGCATTAAATGTAAAATACCATATCTGTACAAGTCTCTGTTACAAAGGGTTTACTGCATATTACAAAAAACTTGCATTAAATGTAAAATACCATATCTGTACAAGTCTGTTGCAAATGGTTTACTGATGCACATTTTTCAAGACAACAACTAATTCAGCATGTTTATCAACAAACAAAATCCCAATAATTTAAAAATTTTACCTCCCCTCCCGCTTGCAGTCTCTGAAACTGATAACCACATGGTATGTAAAGAAAGTTTGTGTCTGTATGTGCTGTTCAATGACATTCTCTACTGATCAGCAGGTTTGTTAAATGTGCTAGTGTCACAGGAGTGATATTTTTAAGAGCTTTTCCCATCATTCTAGTGTCTCAACCTGCTTTTCTAAATTCTTAGCCAAAATAATCCATAATTTTTTTTCTACATGATTATCTTGTGGACCATAACAGACCGTTCAATCTGGTAGAACTCAAATTGACCCTATATTGGTTTGGCAATACATCCATCATAATGGATGATATCTATTATGAGATACTGGTCATATTTAGTCTACTTCTCTAGTTCATATGACTCTTTTTAATGAGGTTTGGCATTTATTGATTTATGATGTCAGGCTATTGTCATTCTTGCACAAAGGTTTTTTTAGACTTCTAGTTCAGTGTTTGTACACAGAGTCCTATGAACATTCTCTTCACATTTGTTGTTCACAAGTTTGTTTGCAGTTTGCTATAAAACTATGGTCCATGCCATAACATCCCATCTGACAATATGTTTTCATGTTTTGAATGCTCATGTTGTTTGCAACTATATGGTCTTCTATCCATACTTTTGGCTTTGTTGTACAAACACAGATGCATGAGATGGGCCTGACACTGGCTACAGTTACCATCTCCTCCACCCACACTTTGACTGTTTATCGAGTCCCCTGAAGAAGTTAGACATGTTAACTCATGATGTCCCATTGATATTGGGAAATTATGACCATAAAGTTCATAATCTGCTACTGCTGTTTATTCACAGTATCTGATCGTAGACACATATGATACTTGAATTTCTAGCAGTGTTTTATAAACCGTTACCTAGTTGTACAAACTGTGCCAATTGCTGAGAAATGACAAATTAGATACAACTACACAAAAGCTTCATGTGTTAACCCACCATCATCCATTTTCAGTGCACGTTGTCTAATGGTAAGATTACTGCACATTAGTGATATTTTATATACACATGACTGGAAAAAATATTTGAGAAGGTATGGGAAAATGTTATTGAAGAGATAGATGAAGGACTAAAGAACAAATTGAAATTGAAATAGATGGAGAGGAAAGTCATTGTGCAGGTGGATATTCTGGAAAAGAAGACTGTCATTTGCATGCTCGATAAAAGTTAACCGTAGTTTTTGATAGTATTGTTGTTACTGCATTATTACTTAATTTTTATTTATTTCAAATATACAACTTAAAACAAAATATCAGTACAAAGAATATAATGTCCTCTGACTATTATAATTTAACTTGCTTTCTAATTAAGCTATAAATCAGTTAAAATAATTTCCATACATGATTGATATGTTTTTAGTGGTAGGAACAACAAAGTATTATATTGAATAATTCAAACACTGTTGTCTGAGGTATTAGCTTTATTTGGAAATCAGTAAATTAAAATCTAAATTGGTTATAAATAATCCAGTAACAAATGTCAGAGAAAATTATAGACATTTTCTGGAAGACAGGATGTTATAGAGGATGTAGTATATGGGTTTGACTTTCTGGTTTATATCTCACTAAAGCAAGAAAATTGGGGGCTTTAAATTTGGATCATTTTAGCAGTAACTATTTTCTAAGTGTGTAATTTGTATTTAAAATCAGAAGCCTCAAAGAGGCAAATATATAGCTAATAAATAGGAAACAAACAATAAATTTTTTAAATTTTATAAAGACAATTAGGGATGGATCTGTGTGTAATCTAGCTAGCTATAGTATTATAGAACATTTTAATGCTACAAAAAGTATTGAAACAAGAAAGTGAAAACTACAAAAACTGAGTTACTTAAAATGTTTTTACCTCTTGTTTCAGTACTTTTGTAACATTTAAATGTTCAATAATACTATAGCTAGCTAGGTTACATACATATCGATCCTTACTTGTCTTTATAAAATCCAAACATTTTTTATTGTACTTGTAAGTATAGG